GTGACGGTATTTAGCGAAAATGCCAATCAGTCACCAATCGGGCACCAATCAGGTACCTGATTGGTGCCCGATTGGTGACTGATTGATGCCTGATTTTTTACTTTTCGACTTGTGAGCGTCTGGCATTAAATCACGTACATTTTTGTGCTTGATTGCAAGCATTTGTAATGCTGTTTCCATTCGTTGCAATTTATAAAGCATGTAATAGGTGAAATTCCACCTTGTTTCAATATCTATTTCAGGTTGAAGGTATTTCAGCTTTTCCATAATACATAATTCACGCAAATCATCACATAATAAAACTGAATTTTTGATTTTTGACATTAATTTGCGCACAGCCAAAATTTCTTGATCAATTATTTCCATTTCTTGTTTAACTGCAAGGTTAAGTATATGAGCTGAACAACGGTAATGACTAAAAGAAAGATTATTTAAATCTTGTTCAAATTCTTCTGTTAATATTCGTCCACATACTAACATAGCAGATTCATTATCCATTGTAAGTGCAAGAGCTTTATCTGCTAGATTAAATTCATAAAGAATTTTGCTAATTGCAGTTGACATATTGATCCTGTATGATAAGTTTTAAAAGGAATTATATCCAACAAAAAATGCTGAAGTATTTAATTTTGATCAATATAATGAATAGTCATACCAAGATTTGCTTTACTACTCAAAGTTGAAGTCCACATGTCAGCACTAAATGATACTTTTCTTGGTATTTTTTGTAAGTCTTTATAAATATTTGAATGACATTGATTAAATTCTTGGATAACCATTTCTTTTATTTGATGGCGATCAGGAACTTTGTAGCGAGGGTCAAAAACACTCATTGCTTTAATAAAATTTTCACATTCAACAACACTAAAGGGTAGTTGCTCAGAAATTATCCAAATAACAATTACTTCATCTCATTCTGACTTTTCTTTTACAGGCCAAGGATCTATACACTTAAACTTTAAAGTTGTTTGCTTGACTTTTGGAATTACTATATTATGTTTGTTTAATAAATGGTGTTTAATACTAGAGTTACCTGACTTAATAGAAAATGCATAGTTACACTTTTTGCATACAGGTACTGAGTGAGTGGGATTCTTATAAGTTATATGAGACCATAAAGGAGAAGATTTACATGATATATTATTATTTTCGCCATCTTCAATATCATCAATATCAGAAATAAACGCGTCATCTAAATTGAATAAACTCATTTTTAAATTTTAGAAATATGGCGCATATCGGCATATCAGCATAATGGCGCATATATATATATTTAATTTTTATTGGCCAGGACTTATTAGGACCAAATCTTTATTAGTCCAAAAAATCGGACCTAAAGATCTGCAAATCTGGTCCTAAGATTAAGTCTTTAGGTCCTGGACCTAGGACTTTACCAACCCTAATTAGAACTGGACTGATTAGAGCTTTATTAGAATCAAAGTCTTTCATAGTGTATCTGCTCTTAGGGATAGAGGTTAATTAGCCATGGTTAATTAACTGCAATTAATTAACAGTTAAATTGGTTAATTATAATTAAGCAAATTTGGTTAATTAATGGTTAATTTGGTTAATTATAATTAAGAGACAGATCGCCACTCAACCGGAGAAATTTAATAATGCCGATTTACGCAGATTATTGCCAAAAATGGCTAATACTCCTTTTTTACCAGATCGTCGACTCATCACGTGATATGACGTACAAATTTTAAAGATGGTAGTCGATAGTGACAATCCTAGCTAAGCCACTCGCAAAATTTGAAGTTGCCAAAGTTCCACGGCTTCGACTTTACTATGTAGGAACGCGAGATTCCGGCCATAAATTTCTGGTAATTCGAATTTTAGACAATTTATTTTTCAACAATTTAGACCAAAAAATGAGTTAATTTAGGTTCTTATTTAGTTTTTAAACCTTTTTTAGTTTTAATTTAGCCGTTTTTTTTTTATTTTTTTATCTTAATATATTGAGTATTACCAATATTTACTAGATCTGCTTATTATACTATGCTATAGTATGTTGTTTACCATATTTTCTGTAGCTTGCTCTTTGAATGTTCGTGCATAAGCTGAAATCCAGTTTTGTATCATTGCTATCTTAGGGACATCTTCAGCTTCCAATTCACCAGATTCAACAAATGTCATCAGCTCATTATACATATCCTTTGCCGACATTTTATCCTTTTGGTTGAGATTTCCATTCAAAAAAAAACCCTTCAACAACTCCTTCACCTTCTTTTTCATTCTTTTCCCCCTTCCTTTCCCTTCTAATTTTTGATTGCTTTTCAACGCCCATCCCATAGGTAATTGAAAATTCACATCAACAGAACTGATTCAATGCAAAAAAAACGTAAGTTTTCAATTTTTGAATTATGTCTGTTTAAGCTTACATGTTTCTTTACCTTGCATCTTCTAATTCATCATTGCGATTGTTATTATCCGTGAATTCTGGTATTCTAACTGAATTTATGTCTATAGAACATGTTAGTCAAACATGTTTATAAAAAAACACATCTATTTCAATTGATTACCTGGCAGGGGAATTGTCCAAGCTGACTCAGGTTCAGTTTGTTCGGAAATCTTTGGATGGGGACGAACAATTGGTTTGGTACAAAGTTTTGCAATTGCAGAGGGAGAAAAATTATTCCATAGACCAAAATGTGGAAGTGATCGGGCACATATGTAGCCTATCATTTCGCCAGAAATTGGCCATTTCCAGTAAAATAAATTTGAAATCCCTTTTATAGTTTTGACACTTGGTTTTGAATTTAGTTCTTTTTTGCTAACATTATTTGGATTTTCATTTTCAGATTCAAATTGACTTCAATTTGGTTACAAATATGCTAGTGATGTACCAGATAAATGTTTAGCCGCTTCTACAATATCCTCTCCATCACGAATATCATATCCAATCAGAATATATCGTTTGATTGAATGGGAAATCTAAAAGAAAATGGTAATTTTAATATAAAATCTATTGCTATATCTATATATATTATAATACTTACTGCAGCATGATGAGAATCAATTGTTGTTTTAGCTTCACATGGCTCGAGGAATTGCCAATCACGAACTTCAATTTGATACCATTCATTCCAATGCGCAACTATAGCCATAAGTTCTGATAAATGGTAATGTACCCCATTATCTGATATTATTCTAATACATTTTGGTTTATGTTTTATTGTTTCAAAAACAGCTTCAAAAGAGGAGGAAGTAAACCAAGCATCTTGCTTGGTATCAGTTGACCAGTGATAGTAAGCTTTTAAAACTAATTCTTTGCAATTATTTTTTTTTATAAAAACTAGAATTGTGTAAAGAGTCCATCCACATTTGCCAAAAAATTCTGCTTTAGTTTCCCGAGCAGATATTGGCAAAATTCTCATCTTATAATCAGCAACAAATAACGCACCATGCTCATCAAGAGTGGTTAATGTAGCTTTAAATTGAGCATTCAAGTATACTTTACACGTTGTATGGGCTAAAAAATACTGCAATTGTTCTTTTATTTCTTCTAAAGAAGTGGCTTGATCTTCCATTACATGTAATTGCATAAATTCAAAAAATTCAAAAAAATTATCACATTCTGAGCACCGTGAATTATGTTTTTCAGAACATTTTCCAAAGGCATATGGCAAACAATGGGAAATACAAGGATTATGTTTTGTTATACCATCAGCATCAACCACTAATTCTCTTTCATAACCACAAAGCATATGGAGCTTTAAAGCATCAATTTTTCGCAATATATTATCCTGAGGATATATTAAAAGGTAAATAATATTTTTCAACCTAAAATAATTCATTTATCAAAATAGAATTTACTTACTAATTGATCTTTTTGTGAAAATGTATTGCGTGCAATAGCTATTAAAGATTCAAATGAAGTATAGCCATACTCATTACAGGTGAGACAAAGTACACCCATATCATCTCAATATTTGATATTACTACAGTTTGCTAATCGGCCCATAAATGATGTCTTTTTCATACCGTTAGGAAAGGTTTCTTCAAATTTTTTCCACAGTTTAGTTTTTTGATCACACATATATAATATTGGCAATCCATTTTTATCCACTTTGTAAGAACTTTGTACAACTATACTTCGATCCAGAAAAAATATTAGAAATTGTTTTTCTTTAATTTCAGACATTTGTTTAACAATTCTTCTTGGTTTTATTAGGCTTGGTGCTCCTGGTCCATTAAGTATTGCATGTTTTCATGAAGAATTAATTGTATCATTTCCTACCTGTATGTAATAATAACAGTTTTTTTAAGATTTATTTTATAGTAAATTCAATAAATATAGATTTTGGCTTTACCCCAAACTTTTCTTTGAGTTTTTTATATGTAAAATTTTCGGCAATTATTGAAAGAATTCTAACTTTTCCATCATCTCCTCTTTTATTTTTTTCTAAAGCTTTTTGTAAACTTTTCCAAAGTGTTTTATTTTCATTATCAGGGTTAGATTTCTTTTCTATCACTACTAGCATTCCTGATTTAAAAAGTTTCGCTAGATTTTCCCTATCAGGTGAAGAATCTGGTGCCTTTATCCAAAATTCAATTATATGCCATTTTTTTGAAAATGAGGTGATATTAATACAACCAGAGGCACGAAGCATTGCTCGCCATGCACCTAATTCTTTTTCTTGAAATTGATAATTTTCCAGATAAATTTGAAATAAAATTGCAGGAAATTGAATTATTGTATTAGTTTGTTTGTACCAGTTTGTAAATAAGTTTGATCAATCTGAAAATGTATTAGCAATTTAACGTTTTTTTATATTTTGTTCAAATATAAGATTCAGTAAATCAATATTTTCCCAATTATCACTCATACAAGTAATTATATTATTATTCTTTTTCAATTCTTCCAATTTTTGTTGAACGTATGAATTAGTGATTCCAAATAAAGTCACTCCATCATATTTTCTGAGAATACCAATAGTCTCCCAAATTTTATTAGGCGTAGTATCCTTATTATGGTATAATTTAATACCTTCATAATAAACGTCCAAACTACATTCATCTTCTAGTATAGATTGTATAAAAAGTGATTGTTTACCATTATATTTCGTTATAAGTGTAGAAAGATATCCTGGACCAGCACCATAATATTCTTCACAAGATGAAATACCAATTTTACTAACCACAATTAATATTTTATCTAAAAGAATAAATATTGGAATAAATTGAACATCTGCTATTAACTCATGAAAAATTGATTCATTATCAAACCCCATAACAGCTAATCCTGAATATTTTATTTTATTACCAAAAATTTGGTTATACGTTTCATTAATTGCTACAGAAGCTGATGGCTGAGCTCCAGAATCTTTATCATCACAAACACAGCAGAAACATGGATTTTGTGTTTGTTCATTATTAAGAACTGTTATTGCAAAGTTCTTATTGTTAAGATAACAATTAACAGACATAAATAATCGATAAGGTATCAAATTAGCGTTAGTTTTATCAAATTTACATAATTCCCACCAATTTCGTGCATATATACCGTAATGCAAATCTTCTGAAATAATTCCCTTGGCCAAAAGGGTTATTGTATACTGTCTTTTTTTGCTCATTGAGAAAGTTTGTATAATAAAGAACGCAAGATTCTAAAAAAAGTTTTTTTATTAATAACGAAGCCCATAAAATTAATTATAGGTTGCCAATCATTTTATCCTGTTAAGTGTCGATCTGTCACTTAAGCAAATTTGATTAATTAACAGTTAATTTGGTTAATTATAAATTAGCCAATTAAAAGAAGTAATCATAATCATGTGACTAATTTTCTGATTTTTATCGATCTTTTTTTCAATAATTTTTTTTTATTTTTCAATTTAATAATGACTAAAAAAAAGGTGCTATTTGGAAATATTGGACTATTATTACGCAAAACCAAATAGAAAGTAATAAAAATAATTCCCATCGTACTATACAATGTAATTATTGTTCTAAAGTTTTGAATAGAGTTGTCCCTGTATGAATGCAAAATCATCTTGATAAAGAATGTCTAGAAGCACCGGATAATGCAAAGTTTAAAAAAAATTAATTCACAAGGTTTTACAACTAGTACTATTTACACTCTAATTATTACTCCAAATACTACTTATACAAATATACCTGTAAAACGAATTAAAATAACTAAAACATCTAAGATTGTTGATCGTATGAGTGAAGAAGAACAAGACAACCTTGAATTTCAACTAGCATAAGCATTATTTTCAGCTGGAGTACTATTTGCCTTTATTGATAATCCACTTGTCATTCAATTTTTTAAATGTCTTTGGCCATCCTTCAAGTTGTCAAATAGGAGAAAACTTGCTGGAGATTTATTAAATGATATTTATGATGAAGTAAAATTACAAACTGATGAACAAATTTTTAAAGCAAAGACTCTTTGTATGGTTTTTGATGGTTGGTCTAATATTAATCGAAAATCAGTATAAAATTTTATTATTTGTACTTCTAAACTAGTTTTTTTTAATGCTATATTTTCAGGTGAAATTATTCAACAAATGGAAGTTATTGGTGTTCAAAAATTTTCAGCTATTATTACGGATATAACTAGTGTAATGAAATCAGCATGGAGACGAATTGAGGAAAAATATTTCAATGTTATTTGTTTTGGGTATAACTCTCATGTTATTAATCTTTTAATTGGAAATGTTTTAAAGATTGATGAAATTAAAACCATAGTTAAAAATTCTAAAATGATGGTTAATTATTTTAAGTCTCATGCCCAGTAAGAAAAATCGCATACTGAAAATATACTGAAAATATACTGAATTTTAAGAATATTTAACTATATAATCATGTATATTATAAGTATAAATTAAATATAATTTTAGTATATTTTATGTAAGATATTTATATCCATAAATAATGCTAAAATTATGTTTAAATATACTGTATTTAATATGTAAAAAGCTCATAAAACACCCTTAAATTTTGCCTCTTTAAGTATATTTTAAGTGCAAATTTTATGTCATTAATTTCTACTTAATTTCAGGATAATTTTATTTCGTGTTATTATATATATTTAAGTATATTTAAAGCCCATTTTCAGTGTATTATAAATATGATTCAATTGTATTTTGCATATATTTTAATAATATTTCAATTAGAAATAACATATATTTTTAGTAGTTTTAAAGGTCAATTTAGTTCAAATAAAATAATATTTTATGTATCTTTTAATTAAAAATAGCATACATTTTTACTTGCATTAAAGATTATTTTAATTACATTTTTACATTTGATAATAATGATATTTTTAGTATATAAATACAATATCGATATGGTTTGATTATATTTCAATAATAATTCGTGTACATTTTAAAGGCTATGCTAATAACCAATGATACAAATAATTTCTATAGTAAAGTAAAATGCTGAATTTCATATTTCTGAAACTATATAAAACGAAAATAAATAAAGAATAAAATAAATAAAGAAAAGAAGATACAGTTAGGAAAACTTATTTTTCATACCCATTACACAATAACTCGAGACCCATTTAATTTAATGTACTTATTAAAGAGGGGAAAAAGTTATATTAGTAATTTAGTTATTTAATTTTAAATCCAATACAATAAAGTTTGATGCATACCTGTTTAATAAACATAATTTTTAAGTAAAAAATACTTATACACGTCTACAATTAACACCTCGACACGGACCTATTTAATTTAATGTACTTGTTAAAGAGGGGAAAAAGGTATATTAGTAATTTAATTATTTAATTTTAAATCCAATACAATAAAGTTTGATGCATACCTGTTTAATAAACATAATTTTTAAGTAAAAAATACTTATACACGTCTACAATTAACACCTCGACACGGACCTATTTAATTTAATGTACTTGTTAAAGAGGGGAAAAAGTTATATTAGTAATTTAGTTATTTAATTTTAAATCCAATACAATAAAGTTTGATGCATACCTGTTTAATAAACATAATTTTTAAGTAAAAAATACTTATACACGTCTACAATTAACACCTCGACACGGACCTATTTAATTTAATGTACTTGTTAAAGAGGGGAAAAAGGTATATTAGTAATTTAATTATTTAATTTTAAATCCAATACAATAAAGTTTGATGCATACCTGTTAATAAACATAAAAAAATACTTATACACGTCTACATTCTACAGTTAACACCTGACACGGCTACATTAAAATAGAAAAAATAAAAGAATCAGTTAATATTAATTTCGACAGTAACTAACTATTGGATAATTGATATTGTGGTGGAAAATTTATGTATTCATACTGTCTCTCCCTGTAATATAGTCAGCTTCTCTTCTAAGTAGGGTTAATTAAAACTTTCTAATTCCAGAAATTCAAGGTTTTGTATCTTGTATCCTTTATTCCTGGTAAAATATTTTTTGTCAGTAAGTTTATAAATAATATAGACTTATTACCAGAATAACATAGACTTATTACCAATATTTTATCAGAAAAGAGAAAAGTAAAATAAAAAAAACAGTGAAATGTTTTGCTTATAATAGGTATTTCATTTATTTCATCATCGCTTTATCCGTGTTTAACTATTTTTAGATACAAATAAAGTTAATGGGATAATCTTATTCGTGTTTAGCTATTTTTAGAAATTAATCAATATAAAACAAATATTCTTAATTATCGGGTTTTTTACTAGAACATAAAAAGTTTTATTATAAGTGCGAACTGCTGCAAGAAATCAATGCCCAATATTTTCCCAATTAGAGTCATCAAATGCATTTTCTTTATCAATTATATAATATCTATTATCTATTTTAGCAAAACCTATACAATGATCTAAACATCTTACATCGATAAATTCTTTTGATCTGAATTGAGTAAAATGTTTACATCCATATTCATCTTCTACAATTTTTGATGTTAATTGTACATAGGCTAACATGTAAACCTGATGGTTGAATTCATGGACAAGATAATAATTTACGATTCCATATATATATACAATAACGAGTTGAGGAGGCGCATTAGGTCTGTGGGCAAGTTTATCTATTGTGCGTCTTATCTAAAAATATTTATAAATAAAATATAAAATCAATATTAAAATTATATCAAAAAAATAAAAAAATAGCAATGATAGTAATCAAAGATTATAAATTTTACCTGAGCACAATAATTATTTCTTGCAATTTTATTATTTCTTTTTATACAACAGCTACTAATATATTGTCCATCTGAAGTTCTTAATCTTCCATATCTTACACCATAATTATTAACCTCCTAAAAAACGAAATTATTTTGTTATTGTAATGATGAATTTAAAATTAAATAAAATAAAGCTTTATATTACCATTTCTAAATCATTATGATTTATTAGAGCTCCGGACGAGTCGAGTCAAATCGAGTTAAAAGGTAACTCGTACTCGATTCGGCAAAATCGAGTTGAGTCGAGTTGAGTCAAAATTATAAAATTTTCCAATCCGACCCGACTCAAATTTAACAATATTTTAACCCGAACTCGAATCGACTTGACCGAGTCAAGTTTAACCCAGGTTAAACTCGCGCATTTTTATTAATTTATTTATTGGACTGTGACATAAGTCTTTTATATGAACCAAGATTATTTTTGTCGCATTTTTATTTATAATTTTTATATACATTTAATCGTATAGATTATTTATTACATAAAATAGATTGAAACTATTTTTTTAATACTGTTTTCCACCAAGATTTTAAGCACATGCAAGCACAGATTGTTTCAGCTGAGAGACTGCATCTTTTTTGACTTATAAGATCGGTACCACCTGAAAAAGCCCTTTCGATTGGTGTGCTAGTTGCTAAATAAATTTAAAATTATTAAATAACTTTAAATAATAAAAGGTTTAAATTTTAAACGATATATTATTACCGGGGATTGCAAGATAGTCACGCGCCATTGCTGCCAAGTGCGGATATTGGGATTCGTTCATCTGTAGTTAGAAATTAGAATAAATTTAAATTGTAAAATTTATTTATAAAATTGTTTAATTAGCATACCTTCCACCATTGTAATAAATCTACTTCGCCAGGAACAATTGGACTTCCCAAATATAAATCCAATTCACTTTCATTTCTTGATGTACGCCGTTTTTTATATATGTGACTGAGAAGATCATCATCAGCGGTAAGATCTTCATCTTGAATATTTTGGTCTATTCTTGGTGCGTATGTTGTATCATATAACTTCTTAATATCATCTCGTGCTTCCGTGATATACTTTTCTTCCCAATTATGATCCTTATAATATGTGAGTTTTAACCGGGGATCAAGAACTAAAAATAATAACATAAAATAGAAAAATTAATTAATAAAAACATATAATAAAATGTAAAATCCATATGAAATAATAAACTTACTAGTAGAGATGGTGTATATTATTCCATCAGTATATTGATAGTATTTTTTTAACTTTTCCATTGCATTACAGGCCGCTTTTTTTACAATTTCATCAATATTTGCTTCTTTATCAAAATCTTCAATTTTATCCATAATCCAATTGAAAATTGGTATTGAATTTTCAATAGTAGGGTATCGTCCATGAGAGATATGAAGCGTGGCACGCAAAAATATCTATAATATGATAAATTAAAAATAAAAAATTTGGGCAAATATTTAAACAATATAAATTATTAGTTTATTACATATAATAATTTTTTTATTTGTTTAAGTAAATCCCATTCAGCATCAATTATTTCCCATTTTCGTAAATCTCTGTCTGCTATCGCTATATTATCCAACGCCTTTGATAAAACAAAATAAAATTAGAACTTGCAACAAATTCCTATAAATTTTATGTAATAAAATTTACCTCTCGCAATTCTAAGCTACGTTCTATCATTTCGAAAGTCGAGTTCCACCTCGTCTTAACATCAACCACAAGTTCTTTATTGGGTAAATGAGCAGCCTCACACTGACGTGAAAACTTTTCTCGTCTTTGTGGAGACGCATGAATCTTAACAACAAGTTTTCTAAGCTGAAAATAAAATACATTATTCAGATTAGTTCTTGAAAAAATAAGTTATTAACCGTATATTGAATACTGACCTTAGGAACAACTTAGGATATTTCGTCATTATTCAATAATTCATTTTCATTTTCCACGTATTTAACTTTTAAAGTTGAAAGCGCGTCCTGTGCTGCTAGGTTGATGATATGTGCCAAACATCGAATGTGATTGTTGTACGCAGTGAATTCAATATTTCGATCTTTACAAGTTTTTTCTAATGCTTTCATGAGAGTATCGTTATTTGAAGCATTATCGGTAATGCATGCTATAATCTATAAATTTAATATCAAATATTATAAGGAATAAAGAAAATGTTAATTATAATTAATTAAAAAAAAATAATTAGAACAAATGTAAATAATAATACCTTTGTGAGAATTCTCATATCGTCACAACTTTTTACAAATGATTCGTGTAAATTTTCCCCAGAGTGGGGTCCGGATAATTTACAAAAGTCGATTAAGATTTCTTTTAATTCCCATTCGTGACTTATCCAATGTACAGTTATTCCGAGAAATGGAATGTAACTTGGTGAAGTCCAAGCATCCAGCGTGAATGAAAGTCGACCTGGTGCATTCTAATATTATTAGTATATAATATTTATTTATAAAATTAAAATAATTAACAATAACAAATATGAAATACCTGTAAAATCTCCCGTATATTATTTCTTTCTTCATTAAATTTATCAATAACATCGCTGCGTAAAGTATCTGCTGATGGAGCTTTGGCAATAGGATTAAGTATACGAAATAAAAGTCTAAGGTGTTCACTTTCTACAGCCGTAAAAGGTTAGTCATCACAAACAGTCCATCTGACAATAAAATCTCAAAATGTTCCTTGAGTATAACGCTAAATTTCTTTATTAATATTAAGTAATAAAAAGCATAAAATACAACATATAAAAAAAAGAAAATAAACATTTACAGGTAATTCTTTTTTTACAAACTTGTCCATTTCGCCGCTTTCTACCTCTGTTTCAATTTTACTGGAATGTTTCCTCTGCATATGTTTGTGAAGATTAGTAGTGTTGCCACCTGTCCTTTTATACGTCATCCTTATTAAAATAAATTTTATAATCAGTATACTGCTAAATTAACAAATTTACTTTATAATAATAATACACTCACCCACAATAATTACACTGAGCCTTTTCATCATTTTCTACTAACGTGAAATGTGACCATACAGAGCTATAAGTCCTTGTTGAAGAACCTGCACTTTCGCCTAAACTGTCACTCATTTCAAAAGTAGAAAAAAAAAGATGATCAGATAATCGATCATTTAAATAAGTTCACGTAATTGCAGATCTTAAAATATTTAACCTGGGTTTAATCGAGTCGAGTCGAGTATGAATTTAACTCGGAATTGACTCGGATCGGAATTGACTCGTGACTCGAATCGATTATTACATAATGAAAAATTCTCAAATCGAACTCGACTCGACTCGACTCGACTTGCGAGTTGACCCGAGTTGACTCGACTCGTCCAGAGCTCTACGATTTATATTGCTTGATCCTTCGTAAAATTTAATCAGATGTTTGTGTTCTTGGCTTAGCAGAGAATATTGAGTAAAAGGGGAATAAAATTCTTCTTCATACCCTTCAGTACTAAAGACCCGTTCCTTACTCCATTGTTTTAGCGGTTTTTCTTTGAAAATAGCTTTTGAGATAGAAAAAAATGGTAACATATAAAATTGCTGTAACAAAGTAAGCATATTTGCAAGGTTGCTATATGGCTTGATCTTTGATTTAATGAGTGGTTGTAATATACC